AAAGGGATCATAGACCTAAATATAAAACCTAAAATTATAAAACTTCTAGAAGAAAACATGGCAGAAAAATCTCTGTAATCTTGGGTTAAGCAAAGATATTTTTAAATGACCTTTTTTTAAAATTAATTAATTTTGAGAAAGAGAGAGAGCATGTGCAGGAAAGAGGCAGACAGAGACGGAGAGAGAGAGAATCTCAAGCAGGCTCCGTACCACCTGTCAATGTGGAACCCATCAGCGCGGAGCCGGACATGGGGCTTGAACTCACAAACTGGGAGATCAGGACCTGGGCTGAAATCAAGAGTCAGACACTTAAAGGGCTGAGCCATTCCGGTGCCCCAAGCAAAGATATTTTAGGTATGATACCAAAAGCATAATCCATGAGTAACAAACATTAACAGACCTAACTTGACCAATATTTTAAGATACTCTTCAACAGACATTGCTAAGAGAATAAAAAGGCAGGCCACAGAATGGGAGAAAATACATGTAAAATCCATATCTGATATCTAAACATACACCAAGAATACATAGAGAACACTTATAACTCAATAAGAAACAACTCAGTAAAAATGGGCCTAAGATATGAACAAGCACTTCACCAAAAAAAAAAAAAGGGGGGGGGGGGAACGGCAAATTAGCACCCAAAAAGAAGCTCAGTGCCATTGGCCACAAACTAAAACCACAAGACACCGTTACCCACCCATTAGAAAGGCTTTTCTTCTTTTTAACTGACAATACTAGATGTTGGCAAGGATGTAAAGCAGCCGGAACACTTATACATTTCAAGTGGAATGCAATATGTACAGCCACTTTGGAAAGCATTTTGGAAGTTTCTTATAAAGTCCAGTAGACACTTATCATATGATTCAGCAACTGTGCTCCTAGACATTTACCAAATGAAGTAAAAGTGCATGTTTACACAAAATGCTGTCTGAGAATATTCTAGCAACTTTTTCATAGAGACCCGAACTTGGAAACAACCTAAATATCTTTAGGCTGATGAATGGGTGAACAAATTGCTATGCCCATACAATGCACTAAGTCTCAGCAATGAAATTAAAGAACTATTTATACAAGCAACAACTTTCCGAATCTCAAATACTAAGTGAAAGAATGCCATGTGCTGTATAATTCCACTTAAGTGATAGTCTGGAAAAGGAAATACTACCCAGACGGAAGGCAGATCAGTGTTTGCCAGAAGCAGGGGGTAGAGAGGGACTGACTACAAAGACACAAGAGACAATCTGGAGGGATGTCTGAAATGTTCCATATCTTACTTGATCGCCACTGGATGTGTTGCCAAAACTCACCCAAAAAAACAACGTCAGAAGACCAACACTTCCTGACTTCAAAAGACATAAAATAAGGTATGACTTCAAAAGACATAAAAAGACTACCAAAAGCCATAAAATATGACATATCTTAAAAAGGTTGAGAGGCGCTTAGGTGGCTTAGTCAGTTGAGTATCTCACTCTAGATTTCAGCTCAGGTCATGATCCCAGGTCATGAGATCAAGACCTGATCGAGCTTAGCATGGTGGAGCCTGCTTAAGAGTCTCTGTCTGGAGATTTTTTCTTGTAGCTCTCTAGGATGGTTGCAAGAAAAGCCTGT